AGTAACCATCATAACCATAGCAGCTCGGAGGTAGTGTCAGCAAGAGCTCGATATTCAGCTTCAGTACTGGAACGAGAGACAATCGTTTGCTTCTTACTATGCCAAGATATAAGAGAATCTCCAAGAAAGAAGCAATAACCAGTAGTGGAGCGTCTATCAGTAGGATCACCGGCCCAATCAGCATCAGAATATGCAATCAAATGAAGAGAGGAAGAACTGAAGTAGTGAAGTCCATGAAACAAAGTGCCCTTGACATAACGGATGATCCGAAGCACAGCAGCATAATGAGTAGTGCGAGGGGCAGACATGAACCGACTCACAATATGGACAGCATATGCAATATCAGGACGAGTAACAGTAAGGTATACAAGACTGCCAACTAGTTGCCAATATAAGGTGCAGTCACTAAGAGGAGTACCATCAGTGGCTGACAAATGGGCATTATGCTCAATTGGAGTGTTAACAGTCTTAGTATCAGTGAGTCCTGCACGAGAAACAAGATCAGTGGCATACTTGGTCTGAGACAGATAATATCCCGATTGGTCGGAGGAGACCTCAATGCCTAAGAAATAAGTTAATCGACCAAGATCTTTCATTTCAAATTGTTTGCTAAGAAAGGTCTTAAGAGCGGAAATGCTTTGCAAATCATCGCCAGTAATGATCATGTCATCCACATAAAGGAGGAGAAGTACACAACCCTGAGAGGTCTTTCGGATGAACAAGGCATGATCATAAGTGCTAGATTGAAAACCAAACTGACAAACAATAGAACTGAATTTGGAGAACCATGCTCGAGGCGCCTGCTTAAGTCCATATAGAACCTTACGAAGACGACAAACCTGATTAGGGAGATGATCATAACCAGGAGGGGGCTGCATATAAATCTCTTCAGAAAGATCACCATTGAGAAAAGCATTCTTAACACCCATCTGAAATAACTGTCAGTGCTTATCTATAGCAATTGCAATAAAACTGCGAACAGAGTGAGATGGGTTATTGGAGCAAAAGTCTCCTCATAATTAATGCCATACTCCTATGTGAACCCTTTATCTACCAATCTAGCTTTATACCATTCAATTGAACTATATGCCCGAGTCTTGATTTTGTAGACCCATTTGCAACCAATCACGGATTTATCTGGAGGTAGGTCAACTAAATCCCAAGTATGAGTGCTTGTAAGAGCTTGAATTTCTTCTGCCATTGCTTTCTGCCATAGAGGGTCAGTACTAGCCTCACGATAGGTACAAGGTTCATATAAAGATACAATGGTAGAATAACAATGAAAATCACGAAGAATAATGGAAGGTTTAGTGACCCTACCAGAGCAACGAAGTGAAACATTAGAATGAGTAGGGTCGAATTCATCAGGAGGAATCAAGGGCTTAGAAGAAGGCAGAGTTGGAGGATCCAAAGCCAAGGTAGATGCATCAGGAGAGGTTGCAGGTTGTGCAGTACTGTTAGAGCTATCAGATGAAGTAGTCGGACCTGCAGATAAATCATCAGGAAAAAATGATATAGTAGGATCAATAAAAAAATGTGGAGATGTCGTGGTAACTCGAAATGGGGAGAGACTGGAAAACATTTTGTGTTCCCAAAAGGTAACATTACGAGATATGCGAAGTCGTTGGGAAAGAGGATCCCATCACCGATATCCTTTATGTTCAATACCATACCCGAGTAAACAACATAGACGTGCTTTTGGTTCCAATTTAGTATGTTCATGAGGTTGTAATAGAACAAAACAAGCACAACCAAATACACGAAGAGACTGGTAATTAGGGCAATGGCCATACAATCGTTCATAAGGAGAAATGTTACCAATAACAGGAGAAAAAATGCGATTGATGGTATAAACAGCAGTGAGGGCTGCTTCCCCCCAAAAACGTTCAGGACAAGAGGAAGAGATTAAAAGAGCTCGAACAGTAGCAAGAATATGCCTATGTTTTCGTTCAGCACGCCCATTTTGTTGAAAGGTACCGGGACAGGATCTGTGAATGATAGTTTCATTTTGTGAAAGAAATTGGATAAGGATAGAATCTCTATATTCCATGGCATTATCAGTGCGAAAAATTTTGATGATAGAGGAAAACTGAGTTTTGATCATGGTGGCAAATTGAATATAAATTGCAGGTAATTCAGATTTATAACGCATGAGATAAATCCATGTATATTGAGAGAAATCATCAACGAAGATCACAAAATAACGCGAACCACCCATGCTATTATGAGGCGAAGGGCTCCAAATATCAGAATGGATAAGATCAAAAGGTGCAGAAGAAACAGAATCACTTATAGTAAAAGGCAAAGCATGATGTTTTGAAAGAGGACATGAAACACAATCAAAGTCTGTTGTTTTAACAGGACCCAAACATCCATTAGAAATTAAAGATCCTAATTTAAAGGTAGAAATGTGACCAAGACGAGAATGCCAGACACTAGAGGTGACAGCAGCAGCAAGAGATGGTAATTGAAGAGATGATAGCTCAAACAGTCTCCCAACCTTACGGCCTGTCCCAATGATCTTCCCTATCCGTGGATCCTGCACAGTACAACCACAACTTAAGAAATGTAGTTCAAAACCAAGTTCACATAATTGTCCAACAGATATAAGATTTAGAGTTAATTTAGGTACCAAAAAAGTGTTAGGAAGTGACAAACGAGATGTTAAAACAGTGCTTACACTTTTGACAGTTAAGGTGGAACTATCGGCAGTATGAACAATTGGTGCAATAGAAGGATGTGACTTGGAAGTAAACAGTGATGAATTGGATGTCATATAATTGCAACAGGTAGAATCAAAATACCATGATGAGGTAGTACCTGGAGTGACGGGCAAGACTGAATTAGAAGGCATACCAGAATCATGTCGGAGCTGATGAAGAAGAGCTTGGAGTTCTCTAAGAGAAAATTTTGGAGAGGTGTTATCAGAAGAATTCTCTGTGGCAGCAGCTGCAGTAGAACTCGAAGCCTGAGAACCCATGGATGAGGACTTCTGTCCAGACGCCTTTTTGGCTTGCAAGCGGCGACACTCATAAATAGTGTGACTAGTCTTCTTGCAGTAATTGCAGAAAGTCCGTTTTGAAGATTTAGTTGAAGAAGTAGCTGACATACCCGAAGTAGCAAGAACAACACCAGTAGATAATAATGATTGTTCATCTCGAAGAGTTTTTAGACGAGTTTCTTCAGAGAGCAAATCTTTGACCACAACTTCAAGAGAAGGCAATGGGCTACGATGAAGTAGAGTACCGCTAATAGGTTCATACTCATCCCTGAGAGTCATCAGAAGATGCCAAACACGTTGGCGATCGCGAAGCTTGGAATAAGTAGTAGCTGTAGAGGTACTATCCCATTCAGGTTCACACTATGCTAACTGATCCCAAAGAACTTGTAATTCAGAGACATAACTGTGAATGGTCTGTTCAGGTTGTTGCTTCATACGGTGAAGACGCCTATAGAGCTGAAACTGATGCACATCATCAAAAATAGAATAACAAACTTGTAAGAAATCCCATACCTCTTTAGGAGAGTCATATCTACGAAATTCCAACTTGATGCTTGCAATACAAGTATTGCAAAACTAGGTCAATATTTGATGATTTTTCCCGTCCCATTTTTCTACTCGTTCAGCAAATTTATCTTCTGTTTCATCAACAATTTTAGTAGATTTGGGAATCTCACCCGTCACATATCGCCATAGAAGACGTCCCTTGAGAAAAACTCTGGAGTGATGGGATGAGAGATATGTTGAACAGCTTCAGACGAATCCATGAGGAGAAACACAAAACTCTGGAGCAACGCAAATCATGGGAAAAGAAACAAGGTAGACTCAGGGCTCTCGCTCAGGCTCAGACTCAGACCCGTGTTCCTTTTCTTGCTTTCTTCAATTAATTTTGTTTCTTTCTTCCCTCAACTAAGCCTTAGCGACCAGCTCAGACAACAGCAATAGTGAGTCAAGCGATTGAGAATTACAGAGAGAAGGCAGAGATGCTCTCTACAAGAAGAAATCGCTGTAGCTTCTGGAGGAGATATCGCTGCCCAAGAGTTTGTTGCCGTTGGATGGCACGGAGGAGGTGGGCTACAACAGGGAAGCCAGGTTCGTTTGGCTTAAGGAGGAAGAACGCAACAGACCTTCAGGTGCACGGGAAGCAGGTCTCGTACGCGAATGAGATTATCGCCTTCGTGGAGAGCCACCGGATGAAGAAGCTGATCGGCGTCAAGAGTAAGGAGCTCCTGATTCGGGTTGGGTCACCCTCTGGGATATCTACCTCGATGACCCTGCTTCCGGTAAGATCTCGTTCAAAACATCGACCGTTGGTCTAGTCGCAGAGGATCCAAGCTTGTTCCGCAGCCAACCGGAGCAGAGCAGAGGAGTCATTGGTTTGGTCGCAGACTTGGAAGACGGAGGACAGAGGATCCAAGCTTGTTCCACAGCCAACTAGAGCAGAGGAGTCGTCGGTCTGGTCGCAGACTTGGAAGATGGAGGATCCAAGCTTCAGTTCTCTGTTTACCTCTGTACCGGGCGGCGGAGCAGGATGACCCTTGCGAAACATAGACGAGAATAACAACTGGGCGCTTTTCGTGATTATCCTCGAAGCTGGATCGACAAGCTTTCGTGCTCCAGATGGAAAACTCCAGATTACCCTGCTTCCGGGCTTGAAGAAGAAGAAGCAAATAAGAATTGAACTTAGTTTTCTGCGTGCACCAGAAGTCGTGTACAGGACGACGATCACGATGGGCGGTTATGCGAGGGAGCTAGCCTTCAACCCAAGGTGCTACGATAACCAGTGCAACAACAGTGTGCACTCATGAGAGGGCGCCGACGAAGCTCAAGTGGATCCGATAAAGTATCACAGGCTCTGATACCATGATATGAACCAAGAAGGATGGATGGAGAAGATAATAATTTCTCTTGATATATATATTCAATAGGCTGCAGCTCTATTAATAGAGCTAATAGGGATACAATAGGGAGACAAGGTCGGTGACCTAAGGAGGATACAATAAAGAAAGAAGAGAAGATAAGTATGTACAGCTATCTCATTGTGCCAAGTTTGAGGTTCAAACGCCTTTTCTCCTTCTCTGTGAGGACGCTCAGACGATCAAGGCATCTGATCGTCCCATCGCCCATCGCCTATCTACCTCCGACAACAAATCTGCTCAACCTCCTCCCTTCCCTTGTCTCGAATGGCTCCTGAAATGGCTTCCTCAATACTTGTACGCCGATGATTTTACACAGTTTTGCCAAATGCACAAGAGTGTAAAACATGCATTCGGCCGATTTGTTTTTTACCCTGTACATTTTAACATTTTGTCCTTTCAGAATATTTAATTTTCTCTTTTTCATACCAGACTATTATAACAGGCAATGTACTTGTCACTGTCGGAGAGCCGCTGCAGGAGGACAAATGACTCTATTGATGTTGGGCTGGTGTAGAAGCACATTTGCCTCGACTCCTCATCTGGGTTTCCTTTCATCGGCACCGTTGGGTTCTTCTTCCACAGTCTCCGTTTCTTCTCCTCGCCCTAGCCCGAGCCAGAAAATCAAAGCGGTTTCAGTCTCTTCTTCCCAACAATCGCAATCAGAACCAGTCCGATCTCAAAAACCCATCAGGTATCTCTCTCTCTCTCTCATCACACACACACAGAGGACAGCGGATACATAAATGATGCTTACCATAGAGCAAAAGTCAGTCGTGAGCTCAAGGAAATCCAACGACTGAGTGCTCTTCCTTGCCAATGATTTTGCTTTCTCTTGTTGGTTCGCTTTCAACGGATTCAACAGCACGCTCCCGATCTGTTGTACACAAATCGGATTACACCATGCTGAGGGCCCGTCGTGCAAACTTTGAGTCCGAGGCTACGAACCCACCATTATTAGGCCTGGCTAGAGTGGACCTAGTTCTGTCCAACACTCCACAAATTATCGGGCCCAATTCCATTTCATCGGTTCTGTACTTCTTGCCTGAACCCAAGTAGTACCCCAGCATTGGAGGGTGTTTTGTTGGCATACCCACATGCGCTGATATAAGTAAGTCAAAGCCTTTGATTTGTTGACATGGCCCCACCTTGAATTAGATGAAATGACTTCGTTCTTAGTCGTGGGGCCATTGCATTAGACCAAGGCCATGATTTTCTGTTTTAATCTTGCTTGTAGCAAAAGTGTACTCTTTGCTTTTGAGTATGGTATTTAAGAATTCGGTACGAATAAATATATGAAAAATGCTTGAATACCTTAGGGAAATGCATATAAGTTATATATATATATATATATATATATATATATATATATATATATATTAATAACATTATATTTAAGGGAAAATTCCTTATTAGTATCTGTGCTTTGGACCTAGTGTCATTTTGGTCCCTCAACTTTAAAATATAATAATTTAATATCCGAATTTTCCAAAGATGCCAATCTAATACCATTCATTAAATGGCATGTGAAAAGATATAAATGCCCTTTTGGGTGTCATCTAATTTTCTTTATCAACCATCAAAATGCCCTTGTCAAAACTAAAACATTGTTCATCACCTTCTTCCTCAATAAGATGAAACATAGGTATAAGTTTTTTGTACAATTTTGCAAGGGAATGGTAATGATCCAGCTCCTACAAAAACCAAATACATTCCCTCAAACCCCCAGTTAACGAATGTGACAAGTGTTGAAATCAAGGTTCAAAGTAACGAAAACGTCAAGTGTATCGGAAAGGCAATTTTAAGATACATATCGAGATACACTTTGGATACGTATGCGTATCAGAGAAAAACTATGATACGCTTGGAAACACTATAAATAATTTAATAAATCATAAAAATACATCAACGACACTAAATATAAAACCTCAATGACGTGTATATACATTAAATTAATATATTTTAATGGTTTTATGAAGAAATATATTATAGCTAATTGTAATTTCATTAAAAATTCTATGCTTACCTATAATTTATAAATTATAATTCCTAAGTTTTAATGTTTTATGGGATGAGAAAAACCCAACTCTCCTATCCAACCATAAAACATGCATTGGCACAACTTCTATGTGAAAATATAATTAATAATTATTTATTGTTTAAATAATTATTATTTATTATTCATTTTTAAAAATTATAAAAAATAAATAAATATTATATAATATATTAAAAAAATAGTTATTACAGAAGAATTTTCAATTGTGGATATGATAGATCATTCATAGAATTATAATATATTCAATCATTGTGATCAAATCATAAAATTTAATTATTAATTAATTTATTTTTTAATTCTAAAAAAATAAAAATAATAATTATTAAAGAAGAAATTTCAATTGGTCTATATGATAGATAAATCCATATATCTAAAACATATTTAGTCTTTATAGGCAGAGAAAAAACTTACATTTTCAAATTTTTTATTAATTTATATTTTCCCCAAATATTTTCATGAAATTTCCATAAATCTATTGATAGCACAAAAAATTGTGATTTTAAATGTAAGAAATGTAGATCAACATAAATTTAAACATTCAAGAAAAAAAGGAAATCACAAGATATTATAAAAGATTGAAAAAAATTACCTATTTTTGCCATATTTCTTCAAAATTTTAAAAATCTTTAAAAAAAAATTAACGATTCACACTTGTTTCTTGCAAAATTTTGCAAATCTAGCACTCTAGAATTGAAGTTTGGAGTTTTAGAATCATTTGGAGGTGAAATAAGGCTTATTTCGGGGAAAAGAAACTTGCTTTCTCCCTTTAAATTTTTTTTTTTAGTTTTTGGTCGTATCTTTTTCGTCGATACGCTACTGATACGCCTCGATACACCCTTGATATGGGTCCGATACGCATGAAAAAAGATGAAACGCCCGATTTGCATGTGTGTCCTATATCGGTTTTTAAAAGATACGATATGATGCGCCCCGTATTGGGTGTAACGTATCGAAATTTTAAACCTTGGTTGAAACCCCTACAGGTTTGGGGTTGTTCACCATTGCTTTGTTTCAATCTTGATTCCTAAAGAAGAAGATGATGAACAGTGTTTCGATGGGTAATTTTGATATTTTTAAAAAATTGAAATCGCACATGTCATCACGCAATACACATATTTGATGGTTGGTTAACTACAGGTACTGGGTTCGCAAATTTTGAAAGTTCAAATACTAAATTGTCACATTTTAAAGTTTAAGGACCAAAGTGGAACTAGGTCCAAAGTACAAGGTACTAATCATGAGTTAACTATGAATGAGGTATAAAAACATGAGAAATGTACACTTTAACAAGTTATATGAAGAGAAACATTACAATCAACGATATCGGGACTCTGGAAGATGTACATATCATACAATAATTATCACTCTATTTTAGTTTTTACAATTATAATTTTTAATTTTTATTAATTTTTGGGATTTTTATTTAGTATTTTTATATAAATAATCTCTATTTTTAAAATATATTTTTATTTTAAACATACATTTGTTTATTTTACATATAGTTTTAAAATAAAACATATAAATAACTTAAGGTAGGTAAAATAATTTATAATTTTCAGTTTTTCCTAAAATTTTGGGGAAAATTAGCTCTTAAATTATTTAGTTCAGTTTTATAATTATAATTTATAGTTTTTATTATTTTTTGGGAAATTTTATTTATTTAGTATTTTATATAAATAATAACTCTATTTTTTCAAATAATAAATATATTTTCATTTTTAACATATAATTTATATGTAAAATAAAATATTTAAATCATTTAATATAAATAAAATAAATTAATTTTATAATTTTCAATTCTTATTAAATTTTTGGCAAAAAATATATCCTAAATCAAGGTTTGAATATATCGTCAAATTAGGGTCCGATACGCTTTCATAGTGGTGAGTATCGAGTCGTATCCACCAATGTAGTGCGACATGCATCAATACAGTGGTGTATCATGCAAATACGCACGACTAGCAGAAACGCATAGAGTTGTAGCGTATCTTGTGCAGGCTGTGCTAGTCAACATGGATATGGATACGATACGCCCCATATTAGATGTACCATATCAATACTTTAATCTTTGGCTAGCAAAAGATCATGTTGGTAGGGTGTTGGAGTGTGTTGCTAACAAAATATGTTCCAACACCCTACCAACATAATCTATCACCGCACATCTCATACATGGTGGATCCCAACCTCATGGTGAGGTATGTGATGTCGTTCGGATCATATTGGTATGGGGTTGGAATGTGTTTTGTTGACTTTAATCGAGTCCCTCTTCTGTAATAGGCGCTTTCCGGTAGCAGGGTTTGATTATCTTTTTACGATTACCATTCAAGTATTAAATATCTTCGCCTCCCAATGGGACATCCCAACTCATTAAGTTCTCCACTCTCTTAATTAGGGGTGGCAATGAGTCGAGCTTTTCGCGAGCTACTCGAGCTCATCTCGGCTCGATTTCAACCAAGCTCGAGCTCGAGCCCAATCAGTGGCTCSATTATTAAAMAARCCGAGCTCGAGCCTACTAGAGCTCGGCTTGTGAGGCTTGCGAGCCGGCTCGAATATAGAAAATAATATATATAATAAATATATTATAATTCTTAATTTTTAAATATAAAATAAAAACCTTTTATATATAATTTTTATTTTTATAAAATATTTTTTCTAAATATTTTTATAAAATATAAAACGAGTCAAGCCGAGCCGAGCCAAGCTCGAGCTTATGAACTTTTAACTCGAGTTGAGCTCGAGCTCGAGCTTGTAGAATAGTCTCGCGTCGAGCTCAAGCCTGGTACTATTCGACTCGAATCCACCCCTATTAGCAAGTGATCTCAATACACTGAGTCCAGATCACCTGCCAACAACATACATTCCAACGAGTTCAGATCTGCACCCCACAACGTCCCATAGCACATTCCTACTTGTATTGGGAACATCTCCCAATGATAGTACCAAAGTCAATGATGTCATCATCGAGAGTTGTTCCCAATACAAGGCGAAGATGTAATGTGAAACGTTGTGGGGCGTAGATGTGAACTCCATTCCAACACCTACAAAAATGATCTAACATTGCATATCTCATATAAGTTGGTAGAGGGTTGGAACGTATTTCGTTGGTAGGAGATCCCAACTTCTCTTCCAAACCCCACCATTGAAAAAACTTCGGCCGCGTTTGGCAAGTCTTTCCGTGCAGGGTTCGGGCTGTTTAGAAGCCCGAAAGCCTGAATTTTGGGCTTTTCCCATTTGGCAATAGAAAGATCTATTCAAGAAAAGCTCCAACTCATAAAAGACGTCAGAAGCCCGAATTTGGGCTTTTTCAGGAAGCTTCAAATGAAGCTTTTACAGTCTTTTAGCATCCCGTCTTCTTCGAACGTGTGGCACGATGCACATGCTTGGGACTTGAGAGAAAATGGGTTATCTTTCCACAAAAACTATTTGAATGTGTAAGTGGAACCTTCCAATGGTATGCGAGGCCCACTTTGGAAAATGTATGTGGGGCCCACATTAGGTATTATGTAGGACTCACCTTGTAAAATGTATGTGGGCTCCACATACATGTCCACACATGGACCCACATGCATAACCACCAATGGCATGTGGGGCCCACCTTGTAAAATGTATGTGGGCCCCACATACATGTCCACACATGGGCCCTACATACATGTCCACTAATTGTATGTAGGCCCCACATACATGTCCACACATGGACCCACATGCATGCTCATCAATGGCATGTGGGGCCCACCTTATAAAATGTATATGGGCCCCACATACATGTCCACACATAGACCCCACATGCATGTCCACCAATGGTATGTGGGGCCCACATTGCAAAATGTATATGGGCCCCACATACATGTCTGTACATGGATCCTACATGCATGTCCACCAATTGTATGTGGAGCCCACCTTGAAAAATGTATGTGGCCCCACATACATGTCCACACATGGACCCACATGCATGTCCACCAATAGCATGTGGGGCCCACCTTGTAAAATGTATGTAGACCCCATATACACGCCCACACATGGACCCCATATGCATGACCACCAATGGTATGTCAGATCCACCTTGTAAAATTTACGTGGGCCCCATATACATATCCACCATTGGTATGTAGGTCCCACATGTTAAATGAAAGGTTTGTTGACCCACACACAAGACATTCACATTAATTTAATCTCCATGTAAAATATTTTGTGAGATCCATGTAAAATACAAGTCTCGAACCTTGTATGACATTGTAGTTTTTATGGTATTTTGTGAGATCCATGTAAAATATTTCAACCAAACATAATATCTATTTGCAAAAGCTCAGTCTTTTAACCGTGTGAGATCTTGTAATAGATATTGTGGAAAAGATTTGCCAAACAGTCACTTCATCTCCCGAGTCCTCCATTCTCTTCATTTGCAATTATCTCCAATTCTCCCCTTCCCTCCACCGAATCGTCATCTTCACTATAGCTGAAACCACCCACCATCTTCCCTTCCTATTTTCCGGCTAGGAACCGAGTTCACCGTTTTTTCACTTGGGCTGCGAAAAGAATAGAAAACAAAGCAGAGGAGAATAAAAGCGGAGAAAAAGGAAAAAAGAAGAGGAAGAAGGTATAAGGGTCGATTTCAGGAAGGGTGACATCCTTCATTGGCATTCTTTCAAGCTTTTGGAACGTGTGAAGCGAGAAAAAGGTGTCTCTTTATCCGAAATTTTGGACTGTCAACACCCTACAACCTTGTTATTCAAGTGTTTGTGAAAAGGCAACAGTTTGTTTCCCCTTAACTTTGGTCTTTGTTTTTCACTTCTCATGCTGTGAAATCCATGACAGCATGGTAGTAAGATATTTTCCTTTTATCTCTTGCATATATGATGGTCTCCAATGAATTTTTTGTAGGTTATGTCATTCTGCTTCAACTACTACCTAGAACAATGCCTTGTCTTGATTCTTGAGTGTGTGCAGCCTTGCTTTTTTGTGATTTGGGCATTGAATTTTGCTTTGTTTCTTCTTCTTTATTAATGAATTCAATTGAAGAGAGCTAGAGAGGGTAAATTCCTTGAGGTTCAATCCCTTTTCCCTTGAATAAGAATGTAAGGGTGAGGACCTTGGAATACTAAAGGAGGATGGCGTGTAGTCACCTACCCCTTTTCTCCTCACACCCAATAAAAGGGTGAAGGGGATGAACCATGTGAGAGGACACTTCCCACTACATTAGCCTTCTCCAAATTCAAAGAGACCTTTTAGACCCATTAGCTTAATCTTTCTTTAAAGTCTTGTTGGATGTTAATGTTGGATTGGGAATTGACAATTACTACGATACAGGGAGAGGGATGCTTCCCTAAAAGCCTAAAATTTGGCCAATGGTTCTTTAGGGCTAATGAGTCATCAAAAGAGTTGTAAGAATGCATTGTTTTGAGAGACCCATCACTCCCCTCTTGCAGTTTGATGGATAAATTATCCATTTCAGCTATAAAAGTGAGCCTCAAACCATTTTGGATGCTCACTGTCAAGTTTATTGGGTCTTTTTTTTTTCTACATATTACACGGTACAGGGGTAACAGGTTGATAGACAGGGTGAACATCATGGGTCAACCGATTTAACCATTTGGGTCAATAACAGGTTGCAATCACCGAGTGGTTTGGCTAATTATATAATAATGCAGTTGTGTGCCTTATACTTTTTTTCAATGAATCAGTAACTTGTCTTAATGCTTTTGATCAGTGTTCACTTCAAGGTGTTGGGTTGGGTTAGAACTGGAATGGATTAGCCTGGTGCATCAGACCATAATTGTCACCTATGGTCTCCTTAAGCATTCCTGGTATCTTGGGTTGAGAAATAAGAACTCACAAATCTCCAATACAGTAGGGCACAGAATGTGGAGTGTGGTCAGGTTAGATCAACCCTAATCCAACCCAAGTTTTTTTAACCCCAACCCTAACACTAACTCAAAGGGCTTGAATTTGGGTTAACCTGATTTTTTTTATTTTATTATTATTATTTTTTTCTTTTGAGCTTCACCAATTTTTGCATTGTTATATGTATAAAGACAAAGTTGTGGTGCTTGAGAAGTATCATATTTAATTATCTCACACATTAGAAAATATTTGCCACACAAAAATGAAGACAAATAGAATTCATGTTAGTGAAGGCCTGAATCCTAACTCAACCTGAAGTTAAATTGAGTTCATATGTTTCAACCCTTCTAGCCCTAACCTAACCTGAACTCCAACCCAACCTAAATTTCCACTAACCCTTGTTCACTACTGGATGAAAATTATAAATGAAGTAATGAACAGACAACCCATAAATTAACTTCATCAATTTGTGTTTTGAAAGCCCCAAATTTAAGTTGTGTTTGGGGGCTTAAAAAATGATTTTTACTTTAGATTATGTTTTCAAAGAAAACACTTACCAAATGCTTAAAACACTTTTTGTCACGTTTTTCTTGAGGATGGTACAAATGTCAAATGCAGAAATTTATCCAAACATAGCCTAAAATCTTAAATTTATAATTTTGTATTTTTTGATAGTTATTATAATTTTGTAAGTATAAAAAAAAAAAACCTGTTATATCTACTAAGCTGCCGTTTTTAGCAGCTGAAGTTGCTGAACTGAATGACTTATTACTTTGCCTCATTCACTTTAGCCACTTCAGCCGTTATCTAACAGCCACCAAGATTCATATTCACAATAAATAAATATAATTCTGAAACATAACAGGTCCAGCTTACAAGCTCTAAGTGCAGAGAAAGATTCATTGTGCGTTCCAAATACAGCAGAAATGGGAGTTCATAAGGAGCTGGTAACAGAGAGGTATGCTGCTTTAGTTTTGTGGGTAGTCAAAGTCTCAAACTAAGGTTGCGTTTGGATAAATTTCTGGATTTGTGCTTTTAAATCCTGAGGCTTAAAAGTGTTTTGGATCTCAACACAAACAAAACTTGGGCTCAATTTTATTCTCCACAGCACAAAGCTCAAAAGTAAAAACTTATCCAAACGAAGTCTTAAGTTGTTCTATCTTATTTTCATGGCTGATTTGAGTTGATTTGGTGCTGCAGATATGCAGTGGTTACAGGTGCAAACAAAGGGATAGGTCTAGAAATCAGTCGACAGTTGGCACAGGAAGGTATTACGGTGATTTTAACGGCCAGAGATGAGAAAAGGGGGATGGAAGCGACAGAATCACTCATGAAATCAGAGCTATCAAATGTTGTTTTCCATCAGCTTGATGTTCTAGATCCAGCTAGCGTGGAGTCTCTGGCTAAATTTGTGGAAACCCAGTTTGGGAGACTTGATATACTGGTAAGAATATGAAACCCTTATCTTGCGGCACACTAGAGCCGTTTGGGAGGGGTGAGATGAAGATTCCGCTAGTGCTCTGGATTAGATCTGTTCGAGTTTTGGGTTCGGCACTTCGGCCTATAAACATTTTGTACTGCTTTGGGCTTGGGCTTTCCATCGAACCCATTTAAAATTTGGCAAAAGTTAAGCCTGATCCTGGCCTATGACAGCCCCTTAAATGATTGACTGATTGTTGATTTGGGCTCTTCGGATTTTACACTAAACATAATTTTATAGGCTGTACATGTAAGGCCCACCTCGGAAAGCCAGAGCATTGCTTTTCAACCCTTCCAAACAAGCACTAGCTATCAGCCCCTTTTTATCTAAGGTGGCGTTTGAAAAATCTAAAATATAAAATCTGAAAAGTTAAAAAGATATTAAAAGTGTTTGAAATCTGAAAAGAGATAATTGTTTTTTGAATTTTTAGCGGCTTTGAATAAAGAAGATTGTTTGTGTTGGATCAAACCTTTAACATCTGAAATTCATTAATTTTATTATTTTACCCCTAAATTAGACTATTCAGTTGCAACAATGAGAGAAGAAGAAGAAGAAGAAGAAGAAGAAGAAGAAGAAGAAGAAGAAGAAAAGGGGGAGAGAGAGAGAGAGAGATCTGAGGGTATTTTGGACTTTTGATCAGGTCTGAAGCGCATCTGAACGCGTTCAACGCCTGGCCCATATCTTATTATTTTAGATCTTAAAATAATTTTCAGACCCAAATTCAGAAACACTTCTGACATCTGAAAATCAACACCTTCAGACTTTAGAGGTTTTAAGTGTTATCAAACGCCACCTAATTGCCTGTTTTGGAGGATTGAGCTGAACATTCAAGTAAATTGGTTAAACTGTTTGAAGTGCTCCAGATACTGAAGTGGACGATGGAAAAACTGACTCATGGCCAGTTTGAGCTTTTCAGGTTTTGCAGGAACATATCTTAAAGGATGTCATTATGAGGGCAACCTTGGAAAACCAAAAGCCACTGCACTTCAGACCGAGAGAGCATTGACCAATCAAACCCACTCCCCCACTTTTATGGTCCGTCTGTCCGCTCCGTGTCTTACAACATTGGTTCAGAGGACCAGCCAGTGGATTTTTCAGACATTGGTTAATAGAATAAAAACTAGCAAATGATAACGGGAGAGGAACTCTAATTTGTTCCACTTACCAAATGCACAAGCAAAAGAGGAGGGAGAGGAGAACCTAATCTGTTCAATTGAAAAACTAGCCCAGATGCAAAGAAAGTATAAGAAACTTTGAACAGTTCAATCATAGATGAAATTAGAATTTGACAAAAGCATAATTATTAGAACTGCAAAATTTACCCCTTCCTCCAAATTTGAATTTGAATATAATCGAATTAGGGTGATCCAACTTTGATCTGGTTATAATTAGATCCAAAATACATATATCCCAATGCCATCTTTATAAATATTTAAACATTTGGTTCTTGTATCTTTATAAAATCAATATTTACCTATGGGTAAAATTGGTGAGGTCTCTTGCTGGTTGTAGTGGAGACTTGGGATTAAATCCCGCTGCCACCAGGGTGGGGTGGGTTATTTCCCATTACTTAGTCATGGGTTCAAGTCTCATAGAAGTCTTTTTCACATCATTATATGCAATATCAAATTCATTTCTAATTTATTTTATTAATAAAATTTAAATTCTGATATTTTTATTTTAATTTATAAATATATCCAAAATCCAAATCTAATGGATTTTGAATTCTAATATTAATGAACCAAATTTTAATCTAGTTATATCCCACTTGTCCTAACAAGCTTGCAGTCCTAGAAATTATTGTGGCTTTTGCCCTTGACTGTGGCAGCTCCTTATGCCAAATAGCCAATATGGTCCCAAGATCAAGATAAAGTCCATAGTGACTATACCATGAATGGACGCTTTACATCCCTCTTTATAAAGAAAATAGAAGTAAAAACACAGGTTGAAGTAGTAAGAAAATGATCCATAATTTAATAGCCCTTGATAGAATGGAATGATAGAAACTGGGTTTCTGTAGCAAATCCCATATAGCTGGTATAACATGTTGAATTTAGGTTGTGTTTGGATAAGCTTCAGGATCTGTGCTTTAAAGTTCACAAGGACAATGCCTCAATTTTAGCTCTAGAGCTTAAAAGTGTTATGGTTTTATATTGTAATGGTTCCAAAAGCAACTATTACCAAATGCCAAGACCACTTTTTAGCTCAATTTTGTTTTCTACAGATCAATGACCAAAAGCAAAAGCTTATCCAAATAGAGCCTTTCTTTTGCTTCAGATTTGACCTTGTTTTGTTTGTTTGTAAGTAAAATAGGAAGCAAATTGATGTGGTCCCCAAATTATATGAAATAGAAATGAACTAGGAGGAAAATTATATATTTGGGGGGAATAAGGTAGGAAGCAAATTGATATGGTTCACACCTTACATGAGAGAATTAAGATAGAAGTGGTGCCAATTTTGTATCAGTTGTTTAGATGCAAAATTTTCACGGCTAATAATTGTAAATGAGATAAAACAATGCAAATTTTGCACAAGTAACAGTGCAAACCAAGTCTCAAACAAACGGATGCAAAAACTGAATGTTGTGCAAAAACTGTATCAAGTTCAAATTTGTATTGCAAACAAAGGCAGCCTAAGGAATTTCACAAAATATTTTAAGATTTTTTTTTTTTTTACTTTTCTTCCATCTTATTTTCTATCAAGCCAAAGATGTCCAACCCAACCATATTGATCCACATTTTTTAATCATCTTCAGGTAAATAATGCGGGAGCATCTGGAGTTGTAGTTGATGTTGATGGTTTAAAAGCCTTAAACATTGATCCTGTCTCATGGGTAAGTTTATGATGCTTGGTGATGGATTCAATTACAGAAATGATTGGTTATTGTGGCTAATGCAGCTCTCAGGCAAGGCAACCAATTTGGTGCAAGGAGTGATACAGCAAACATATGAGAAAGCAGAAGAATGCCTTAACACCAACTACTATGGCTGTAAGAGAGTCACAGAGGCTCTTCTCCCACTCCTCCAGCATTCAGTGACGGGAGCAAGGATTGTAAATGTGTCTTCACTGAGGTCAGAGCTAAAGGTAAGTGACCATGGCTTGGAACACATGCATGCTAAGGGACTGTTTTATAATGGCTGAAGTGACTGAACTGAATGACTTTGTTTAGTGGATCAAGGGTATAATAACCAACCCAACTTATCTTCTAAAAGACCAAATAATAAGTCATTCAATTCAGTCACTTCAGCCATTATCAAATGGCCCCCTAAAACTTCTACTGTGCCTTATTTGAAAGAATCCAATCCTTGGTTAATGTTGCCAACAGAATGACTTACAGAAATGCTGTATTTATACAGAGGATCCCCAATGAAGCAATACGAAGTGAACTAGGTAACTTGGAAACCTTAACAGAAGAAAAATTGGATGGAATACTGCACAAGTTTCTACATGATTTAAAAGAAGGTGCACTTGAAGCCAATGGATGGTGCACCATGTTGCCCGCTTACAGCATCTCCAAGGTCACACTGAATGCCTATACTAGAGTTCTTGCCAAGAAGTACCCCAACATGTATATTAACTGTGTGCATCCTGGCTTTGTCAACACTGATCTTAATTGGCATACAGGAACCATGACTGTGGAAGAGGGAGCTAAAGGCCCTGTCATGTTGGCTTTGCTTCCTAGTGGAGGGCCTTCAGGATGTTATTTTGATCAGACAAAAATTGCAGAGTTTTGACCTGGTTGCTTAGATTAGTAACAAGTTGTTATGATCTATTCTATGCTAGAACCATCCTACCTGAATTTGGAAACAGTAGACTATTGTTTGTCAACATTGATCCAAATTGGCATACAGGAACTATGACTGTGGAAGATGGAGCTAAAGGTCCTGTCGTGTTGGCTTTGCTTCCTAGTGGAGGGCCTTCAGGGTGTTATTTGATCAGACAAAAATTGCAGAGCTTTGACCTGGTTGCTTTAGTAATAACTTGTTATGATTTATTCTTTGCTAGACCATCTTACTTGAACTTGGCAACAGTAGACTATTGTTCGTCAACAGTGATATTATTTGGCATACAGGAACCATGACTGTGGAAGAGAGTAAAGGCCCTGTCATGTTGGCTTTGCTTCCTTGTGGAGGGTCTTCAGGATGTTATTTTGATCAGACAAAAATTGCAGAGTTTTGACCTGGTTGCTTAGATTAGTAATAACTTGTTATGATCTATGTTATGCTAGAACCATCCTACTTGAACTTGGCAACAAAACTTAAAAGACCAAAGAGCCCTTAACATTTCATTAAATTTTCAAAGCATGCCATTCTTCTTCGCTGCAAAACAGCACTGAGAAACAACAGTGGTGTTTTAGAGCCATAATGGACATTGCCTTCTTCCTCTCTTCTCCGCTAATGCAAACACCAACGAATGATGATGGCAGTGTTTCAGAGTTGTAATGGATGTCCTTTGAGAGGGCTTCAATTTCAGGGATGCGGTCTCCCACAGTGAGTCACATTGTTCTCCAAATAATGACAAATGTCAATGAGCCTTTCCCTAGAAGCTCTTCTGTTTCCTAATTTGCCTCTTGTAGTTATTACAAAGAAAACGGGATTATGAAAATGGCACAGGAAAAAATGAGAATAAAAATGAGATTATGAAGAAAATTAATGGGCATATGAAATGACCCTAAATGTTTTCTTAACGCATGGCCTATTTGTGGAGTTCAGCTTCTGTCAGGGCAATGCCTGTTCGAGTAGCCTTTACAGCCTTGCATTGGGAATATCTCCATACTTATGTGCTTTATTTCATGGGAAGATGTTCCTTATGCAAGGTTGCAAGAGGCTGTAGGGACGGTGTGAGCATGGGCTTGCCCTGACTAAAGCTGATCTCCTATTTGTGTTATGTCGGGCCATCATATATAAGTAGTTTTCTCAAACCTCAAAAATATATAAATAATTAACCCTTAAAAAATGCAAGAGAAATTTGAAAACCTATCATTGGAAAACAAATGAACATTAATCCAACTTGTAGAGGCCAAAGAATTAATCCATCCAGACCATAATTTCTTCGAGAGTAAACAAACACACACAACAATTAAGCCATCTTAATCAGATAATCTAACATTGCAGGCTTCAAACAATCAAATGTAGATTAAGCCATCTATCGCCATAGTTCTGGTTTATGTAGATGACATAATTGTCACTAGAAATGATACTACTGACATTCAAGCCATCAAAATTTCCCTTGAAAAGTATTTCCATATCAAGAATTTGGGGCCCTTGAAATAAATTTTAGGGATTAAAGTAGCTTGTTCCAAGAATGAAATATTCCTATCTTCAGCAAAAATATGCCTTGGAAAATTTGAATGATGCAGGTTTACTTGGTGGAAAGCCAGTTGTGTTTTAGATGGAATAAAATGCCAAATTAACTTATGATGAAGGGATCTCTTAGGAGATCAAATCAGCCCCCCACAACGTCTCACAGCACATTTCCACTGTGTATTGGGAACATTTTCCGATGATATCCTAGAAATGATGATATCATCGTTGGGAGATGTGCTGTGGAACGTTAGGGAGGGGCTGATTTGAACTCATCTCTTAGACAATCAATCTCAGTATAGACAATTGGTAGATCATTTGATTTATTTAACTATCATGCGTCCTGACATAACCTATTGTGCAACTTCTTAGTCGATAATGAAGCTACATCTCGATGTTGCCTATCAAGTTTTACATCACGTCAAGTCAGCTCCGAAGAAAGGGACCCTCTTGTCAAGTCATAGTGATCTTTAAGTCAAAGCCTATTGTGATTTCCATTGGTCTGCTTGTCTTATTACTCAGCTCTACTACCGGTTATTGCAATTTTCTAGGAGATAGCCCTATATCTTGGAAAAGCAAGAAACAAGGTATAGAGACATGGCATGATGGCATTACAGCATATGTGACAAGGCAGCCCTACATATTGTAGCGAATCCTGTTTTTCACGAGCGTACCATGCAAATTGAATTGGATTGCCATTTTGTTCGTAAAAAAATTCAAATTGGTTTGATTGCACCATCTCACATCGCTTCCAAGAATCAGTTAGCAGACATGTTTACCAAATCTTTGGAAAGAGAACAATTCACTTGTGTTGCTAGCAAGTTGGGTGTTTATGAGTTATGACATTAACACTCCAACTTGAGGGGCGTTATTTTGAGGAAGAAACACATTATCCCATATCTTCCTCCCAAGGTTCGAACTATTGATACGTATCAGCCCGTATCGGCCAGCCGATACGTATCGTTCCAGGACCCCTCTAATACGCCCCTACAGTGGGTGTATCGGGGGTCTGACCAGTTCAGGGGTGGAGGAGCCCTAAACCAGTCCCCCTGAACCGGTTGTGAAAAAATAAAAAAATAAAAAAAAAAACATCAAAAGCTGTATCGATTCGCCCGATACACCCATACCGGCGAATCGATATTTTGAACCTTGCTTGAGTCCTCTTTCCTTGTATTTCTAGGTGCGTCTTTGTATAATAACTTTCTTTTTACCTTCGGTGAAACAAGAGTTGAAAACTGCTATCTTTCTCCCGTGAATGTAGGCTTCATGCCAAACCACGTTAACCTCCTCTGTATTTCATCTTCTTTCCTTTGCTTTATGTTCCATTTGCTTATTTTCTAAAGATTCCCACTATGTTTAACCATTCTTTTGAATTCAATATAGCATTTGTTATAGTTGATGGCTATATTTAACCTTTGCCATGGCTCTCCAGAATGATATTGCAGATTTTCAGTCTTGCATTCTTGCTGACTGCTAGAGGTTCAAGTCTAAGGATAAATTATCAAACTTGTGCCACTTTGGAGGATAGTATCTCAATGAAACCAGAAAATGCAGCAATATGACAGTCATCATGAGTTTCAATTGATAATAACAATTCTTGTTTTATTGGTTTGGCTATTGCATGCACCAAGATCAAGAGATGGCTCCATATTAGACCAAATTTGGATAGGTTTCCATGGACTTTCATGCTGCATAACATACCTGAGTAGGAAGTTGGAACTCAAATTTGTTAGACAATTGACTTAAAATTTGGGTAAAAGAGTTAAACCTCCCCTAATGTTTTTCCTAAATACTTATACCTCCCTTGTGATTTGTCATAGGACTTAAACCTCCCACGTGAAATGATGTCATCAGACAAATAATACCCCTCCCTTAATTATCTTTGATATACCATTTGACTTGACATTGTATTTGTCTTATATTTTCTCAGAAATCCACTTTTGCCCTTTAAGAAACTACAAAAAAAATCAATAATTAAAAACCTGAAAAATAAAAGTTCTCAATGCCATGAGGCAGTGCTGTGTTCAGTAACATCACTATTGGGTTTGAGGCAGTCAGTGGCGGAAAGATGAAAGGGACCAGCCTTCAAGGACAATGAAACCAGAACTCAGCACTTTATGTTTGAATTGATAACACACCATGGGGGAGAGAGAGAGACTACTGCTCCTGCACATATCTATTCATCTACCCGCCTATCATAATTCCTAAGGTAAAGCCCTCATGAAAACAGATCCTGGATATCAAGGATATCGGCAAGGACTCCAGCTGCTGTAGTGTCATTCCCTGCTCCAGCACCTTGAATAACCAATGGCTGCTTGCTATAGCATCTACTGTAAACTTCCAACTGCAAGATCAATCATCAAAGTTACTAAAGTGTTATAGAGAGTCCTTTGATAAAATCTCATATGGTTCCATAAAGCTAATGGGCAACTATTTTTATCTTCAGAGTTCATAGTTCTTAGATTGTCCGTTGAAACCATTTCTTCTTCCATGCACTATGAAATTATAATCTGAATAATTTATAAGAGACAATTATTTAAAGAACTTTCATTAAGTTCATATCAAGTTATTTCTGTACACCTTAGAGTTCAAGTAGGCTAGAAATTTTTTATGCCATCAATTCTCCATTGTCTGTCCAACAAAGAACAAAAGTTTTGAAAGGATAACTTGCTGAGAAGACCTAGCCATAGAGTTCGCATGGATATCAATTCATCTGTAATTAATTGGTCTTTGGCGCTTAAGGAGATCAAGGACATAGGGTCAACTTTGATAGAAATTAGCAGGATATTATCGATCACTGATTTAAGTTTTGTACCCTTTCTTTTTGCATTTTCAACGAGTGTTCAATTGATTCACAATTTCATGGAAATCAGTTAGCTTTATTATGTTTTCTATCTATAACAACGGTATCTATAAAATTTGATGTATTAGACAGCTGTATCAGTGCCAATGATAGGGGCACACACCCACATCTTCATGCTTTCCCTCCAAAATAGTTTTCATTCTCTTCTTTTTCCTTGTACTCTCTTCTCCTTCTCTTGTCCAGTAACCTATGATCTGCATTTTCTTCATTGTTTTCTGATATTCTATGACAAGTTGGTATTAGTGCAAGGTTCCATCTTCTCTGTGTGTAGGAACCATACACAACTAGGATCAGTAGTGTGTATGAGAGAATACAAAGCCGATCAAGGAAAGATTATTTTGCCTGGTTTTGAGGGAATTTTGAAGAGAAGTCTGGTTTGATTGAATGCCTAAGAGATTATGGAGATTATATGCCCAAAAAAATCGGAAACCAGAGATAGGAGAAGCTTTCACAATTGAAGACCCTAGAGACAGATTTTGTTTGGTACTTGGGATTTTTTTCAGTCAGTTTTACTCTTCTATTGAGATTACCACTTGTTTTGGGAAGTTCTCTGAGGTGACTGAAGAAAGTGCTCCCTATTTCTCCCCTTCTAACTTGGTGTTGGAGTTGGATAACCCTGAGAATCTTTTTGATAGTTGTCATTGTAGGTCAAGGTTCTTGTTTCTATTGGTTCCCTAGTTATACAAGGTATTGTTGGAGTTGATTATATCACATGGATATTTCTAGAGGAGTTATGGATCAGAATTTTATTATAAGCAGTACTTTGTAAGATCCCCAGCGCATCAGTGACTACTATAATGCTAGATGGTGCCAAATATCTGGAATGAGAAAATTTTGGTTGTCCAAGTTTGACAACATGGGCTGTTAACAGGGTTCTTCCCACAAGACACATTAGTTCACACAAACTTTGTGAAACAGCACCGGTGCTGGATGCATGGCTGCATGAACTAACATGTCACACAAGGAGAGCCTTTTTGACAGCCCTGACTATTAAACATGGATGACCGGAGTTCTCTCATCTGGAATGGGTTCAATTGGTAAGAATCTTCATTGGAGGATGTGGGAAGCTGGGATATGTTGATAAAACTATAGGTACATCAATTCAAAACAATAGGTGGTGAGAAATCACCCAATAAGAAAAAGAAAAACTAAACAATACGTTTCATTATCCCCTTCACAATCTCCAATATTGAACAAAAAAAAAGACCCAAAAGACTCCTTTGGAACATTAAAAAAATCATGGAAAATTAAAATCCAACCCAGAAACTGATCCCCAACCTCTGAACAAAGTTTCTCCACTATTTGAACATTTGACAAAGCCAGCTCCCACAAATCCACTACACATCATATGGATTATGGACATAAGAGAATTATATGTTAATGTTGTGGAAACAGCCTCTCTGTGTGTGCAGGGGTAAGGCTGCGTACATCTGTACCTCCCTAGACCCCACATTGGCGGGAGCCTCATGCACTGGGCTGTCCTTTTTTTATATGGTGATGTCATGGCTTGTGAATTTGATGGAACCTCACATTACCAGGAATTATTTGTGGCTAAAACATGACAAGAAATCTGAAATAGTGCTGTTGAAACCTATTTCTAGGCAATAAATGTGGCCAAAGCAGATCAGCTCAGGAGCAAAATAAATAATCTGAAAGGGTTTGAAATTTCTAGTATTATATTTCTCTAAACTCAGTCTACCCGGCAATAAATTGATCATCTAAGAGATGTAGAATGGGAGAGCTCCAGGGGTGCTATAGCTTTCAAAAAATTGGAGCACAATAGTGTTTTTAAGTTTCTTGTCAAATTAAATTAGAAGCATGACACTACCAGACAACACATTCTCACCAAGGATGATGCCACCTTGTCACAAGCCTACTCAATTGTGCATAATGAGAACAGAAGACATGTAATGCTACAGGGACCATCTCCTGATTATTCAACCCATGTTGCCATGAAACCCAAGACATTAGCAGTGCTAGTTGATCATGAAGGTGAGGAAAAGAAGGAAGTGATTTATGACAATTGTAAAAGCCAAAGCATACCAGGAAGGCATGCTGGAAGTTACGCTCAAATTTGAAGCCAGAAAGGTTTAGGAATCCCAAGAAGCACACATGGCAACTACTAGTGGCAAATTAATATCCTCATTTGTCTCCATATCTGCACCTGTACCACTTGCTCTTCCCTTTATTTATTTTTTTTGTCAATAACAAAAGGATTTCATTAATGAATAAAAAGATAAAATTCAAATACAATGGTGGGGGCAGGTAAACTCTCTTAACTCTCCCCCAAAGAGAAAATTACAATGTATCCTAAAACAAATGGTTTCTTCCCACCCCTTGTTTGGAAAGTGCATCTGCAAATGAGTTGGCACATCTTTTAACCCACTACAAACGCACTTCCATACCTTGAGTTAGCCACTTGAATTGTCTTCGATCATTGATAATATGCCCACAATCCATCATCTTACTTCCCTAACCACCTATTACCACTTTTGGATCTCCTTCAATGATTAACCTATTAACATTTAGTTCCTTAGCCTCTTTAACACCCTCTATCAAGGCCAAAATTTTAGCTCTCAGTGAGTCCCCAACACCAACTGAGCCAGAAACAGAGCTATAATTGAACCTTCCTCCGACCTAAAAACACCACCAACTCCTGAAGGCCCTAGGTTACTTTCACTTCTGCCATCAAAGTTGAGCTTGATAAAGCCTGCACAAGGTGGAGACCATGAGGTTGAGAAATGCTTCTGCTTGGAGCTAAGGCTGATACTTCCTACCAATTATTCAAAATGGTCTCTATGGAAATGTCATTAAACAACCTCACTGTCTTTACCCAATGGGCCACCCTAAAAGTGAACACCTCTATGATTGCCTCTCTACTTCTCTCTTTTTTGGCAAAAATTATTTGGTTTCTTTCTTCCTAAATTGTCCAACAAACTGCTGCTCTTATACACCTCCACAGGATTCTCCCCTCTTCATAGTCCAGCTACTAGCAAAAGAGTCGAAAAGGCTTTGTATGTTTAATGGGGGAGTCCATGTGCAACCAAACAGAGAAAGAAACCAAGCCCAAATAGAAGAAACAAAGGAGCAGGAGATAAATAAGTGGTAACAAGGAGACAAGCACCAAAAAGCCTTCTTTCGTTGAATTTTATCGCAAGTGTCAATTCTTTCCAAAGTTGTTTCCCAGAAAAGTGCCCCTATCCTAGTTGGAACTGGTTTACCCCACACTTCTTTAGCAGGAAAGGGAAACACTTGTCTTCCTTCTCCAGAGATGCTTGCCACTACTCGAGTAAAATTCGAAAAGTACAACAAATACTTGGCACAACTAGAGAGTACGACTAGAGCTTCTCTAGGAATGTTCTTTCTACCTTAGTCTGTGCCCACTCAAGAACACAGGCCAATGTAAATCATGCTTCTTACTTAGATAATCCAAACTTTCCATGGATCATAGAATCTAGAGCTTTTAATCACATGACCAGTCTCTCCTCCCTATTTCATTATTATCATCTTAATTCTGGGAAAGACAAGTTTCATTTCTGATAATCTAGCCCCTATATTTGGGAAAAGGAACATTAGCATGCCTGACAGCTTAACCCTCCCGTCTACTTTACATGTTCCTTAGCTTAGTACAAATTTGTTATCTATTAGCAATCTTGTTAAAAAACCTAAACTACTTAGTGACATTTTCCCCATGTCATTCTAAGTTTTAGGATCTAAAAAGGTGATCGAGAGTAGCTGTGAGGCAAATGGGATATATATACCTACTTGATGCTCCACCTAGGAGAGATGTCCACCCAAGAAGAGCAAGGTATTAGGACTACAGTGTTAGAGTTGGCGGATTGAGTAATGATGTGGCATACTCGTTTAAGTTATTTGTGGTTTCCATCTCTGAGTTAGCTATTTCTTGAATTTAAGCTTGTTTAGTGTTAAGGCATCTGATTTGAACTTTAAGTATCGCTGCCAACTTAAAAAATATCGTAGAAGTTCATTTCATTCTAATAATAAAAGATCAAATATTCCTTTTGAGATTGTGCTTAGCAATGTGTGGAATCCCTATCATATTTTTTTTTTATCAATTGGAATCCCTATCATATTTTTTTTGATCAATTGGAATCCCTATCATATTCCTACAATTGATGGATATTATTATCTCTTGTTGTTCATTGATGATTTATCTCATTTCTCAAGGGTGTATTTCATGGGTTCCTGGGATGAAATGCCCTAGTTGACCAGATAGTTGTTAGTACGAGTGGCCAGATGCCCTCAAATGGAACAACCTTGGTGTATGGACAAATCCTACGGCCAATGGCTTAGCTTACACTAATGGGTAAAAACATTTTTCCTCTGATAACTTAGTTGTTAATTTCCTTCTATGTTTATGTTATCTGTTTGCTGCATGTTTTACATTTGTTTGCACTGAACAAACCATTTCCATGTCAGCATAACACATGCTTGGTGTGGCCAATAGTTTGGCTAGGTAG